AAGTAAATAAATAAAGTTAAATAAAATAATTATTTTTAATTTTTTTTGGAGAGGTTTTTTGTTTTGTTTTGTGTTGTTTTTTGCTGTAGGGCACGTGCGCTCGCTAGAAAGACAGAGACAGACAGAGAGACAGAAAGCGAGAAATGAGAAATCACCCCCCAGGGGGGATGGCCATGCCGCAATCCCTTCTCCTCCATTCTCCTCTCAGGATCTTGGGCACGCACGCACACGCGCCTGGCGTGAGTTTTAAGCCACTGGGTCCAGGATGCGAACTGTGGTCGACTACGTGGGAGTCCAGCAACATAGCCATTACGCTAACTGCTGGTCCCTTATTTTTAATTTTTTTTTTTGTAATTCAATCAATTGTAGTAAGTGAGCCATCATTTCCACTAAAGATATCCTTCAAGTGCCCCATCAATCTGTTAACCTGTTGGTTTATCTTGTCCAGTCCTTTTAGTTAAATTATTTTGTTAAGAGATACCAGGGAGAGGAAGAGGCAGTGAATCACTTATAAATGGCACCAAAGTCTGATCCAAGCCTCAATTTCAGGAGAATGAGAGAGTGCTGTGCTTTAATGGACCTCTCCTTTATGAAGCAAAGTGTCTGAAAGTTACCATAAAGGATAAGCAGGTGAAATATTTTATCTATTACAGTGGTTGGAATAAAAATTGGGACGAATGCAGGCAGGTGGTATGATGGCTCAGGCACTGGACACTCCCACATGGCTGACTGCGGGTCGAGTCCTGGACCTGGTAGTTTGCTTTCTCACTTTCCCTCTCTTGCTCTGTATCTCTCTAGTTGAATGACAATAAATGAATGAATGAATGAATAATTCAGATGAACAGGTTGCCTTTCTGAACTAGTAAAGATAATTTAGATGTTTACTTCTTTGAGAAATGAGCTGTATTAGGTCGTCTGGAAAGTCATGATATATTTTTCTATGCGAAAATGCATCATGACTTTCCTGAAGCCCCAATAAATGTAAATATTCTGAGTAGGCCAGCACATTACTGAGTAAGAGATAGCATCCAGTGTCCTAGACTGCTGGAGGATAGGTTTTATTTCATGTCGCTTAGCAGCAATATCTGAAGGCTAGAAGTCTCACAAGGGCCTTTGTTAGGAATATTAGCAAGAACTCTCTTTTCTTTCTTTTTTTTTTTTTTTAAATGATGCAGATTGCTATATTCTTTTATCTGCAGGGCTAGGGAAGGGAACATTTTCTCCTTCCCATTTATAATCTTGTAGACTTTCACCGTCATGCTGTAAGAGGTGTCTTTAGTGTTTCAAGGCTAGGGGCTGGAATGGCATTAATGAATACTGAGAAGAAAGAGGCGAGCTTGAAAAGCTCCAAATTTGTAATAGGAATAAGAAGGGGGAAGGATTATCTTACTGATAGATGGAATGTGGGGTCACATAAGGCTCTGCAGTGGTTTCTGCCTATTGGATAAAGAAGAATACAAGCACAGTGCCAACTGCAGAGGAGATCCTAGATAGAGATTTTTTTAAAAATCCTTTTCTCCATTGAGAGTCAGTCTCTTGTGTGATTTGTCCTTGTCATACAAGATGAAGACATGGCAATGTAGTGGCTTCTTACTAAACAACTATGCGCTTGATTAAAGCATAATGATTTAGGGACCAGCAGGTGTTATGGTGGTTGACACGCTGTACTCTCACATGGCCAAATGCAGTTCCAATCCTAGCCCTAATGGCTTGCTTTCTTACTGACACACCCCCTCTGGTGAGCCTGTGTGCCATAAAGAAAATTAAAATAATAATAATAATAACAATAATAATAATTGAATATATTTTTAAAGTAATAATTTAAATGTTAAGTCATGTAGGTTCTCTAAACATTGGGTTTTTTATTTGTAAAATAGGAATAATAGGGGCTGGCAGGTGGCATAGTGGCTAAAGGTGCTGGATTCCCATATGGTTTAAGTCCCGGACCCAGCAGCTTGCTTTCTCATTTTCTCCTTCCCTCTCTCCCTTGGTCCCTCTCTGGTCAAATTGAAATAAACAAATTAATAAATAAAATTAAATAAAATCATTCTTTTAAAAAATAGGAATACTAGTAGTGCTTCCATCCTGAATTGTCCTGCGGATGAAATGAAATGTAGGTGAGACAGGGACCAGCAGTTAGCATAATGGCTATGTCATTGGACTCCCATGTAGTCGACCGCAGTTCAAGTGTCGGACCCAGTGGCTTAAACTCACACTGGGCACACGTGTATGTGTGCCCAAGATCCCAAGAGGAGAATGAAGGAGAAGGAATTGTAGTGTGGTCATCCTCCCTGAGGGGGTGATTTCTTGCTTTCTGTCTCTCTGTCTGTCTCTGTCTTTCTGGTGAGTGCACGTGCCCTATAGCAAAAACCTCTCCAAAAAAAGAAAAGAAATATACGTAAGGCATTTAGCACAGCGTGTGGCCCGTACTAACTGTAGGCTGTGTTGAGTTGTAGATTTATGTAATGTGTAAGCTCATTATCATATGATCCCTTGGAATTTTATTCTTTTTTTTAAAGAATTATTTATTTAATTCCATTTATTATTTTATTTTATTTTTTAATTTGACCAGAGAGAGGGAGAGAGAAAGGGAAAGGGAGCAAGCAAGCCACCAGATCCAGGACTCAAACTGTGGTCGGCCATGTGGGAATCCAGCACCTTTAACCACCATGCTGCCTACCACCCCCCTAGAAGTTTTGTTCTTAAATCTCTGCTATGACAGTTTTTCTCAACCTTAGTATACTACTTGAGTCATTGGAAAAAATGCTGAGAAATGCTGGTGTCTTGGTTACTCTAGGCCTAATACATCTGAATCGGGATCAGATTCAGATATGAAATCCTGGGTATTGGGGCTCTTAAAAGTGATTCTATTATGTGCAATTATGGCTGAGATTTACTGCTATAGAATCTAGGATATAATTTTTTAAAATTTATTTTATTTACTTATTTTAATTTTACCAGAGCAGAACAGAGAGAGAGAAGGAAAGTAAGAAAGCAAGCCACCAGGTCCAGGACTCGAACCATGGTTCTGCCATGTGGGAGTCCAGCGCCCTTAACCTCCATGCCACCTGCTGGTGCCAAATCTATTATATAATTTAATGGAGTAAAAATACTAAAGTTTTGCCTTTTTCTCATGTCTATTTCCTCATTTATAAAATTGAATTAATATTCGTACTACTGTATGACCCCATTAAGAGTGTAAGGTGTGACTCCTGATGTCCGAAGTGCCATACCATAATCTCTTCTGCAATTATCTATTTCACATTTTTGTAGAAATAAAATAGCTGTATATTGGAGGAAAAATTCATGTAGACTTTTGTATTTGATTTGATTATAATCTTGATTTTTTAGTGCTAAAAAATTTTCACTGGGAACCAGCAGTTAGCGTAATGGCTATGTCGCTGGACTCCCACGTAGTCGACCGCGGTTCGTGTCCCGGACCCGGTGGCTTAAAACTCACGCCGGGCACGTGTGCGTGCATGCCCAAGATCCTGAGAGGAGAATGGAGGAGAAGGGATTGCGGTGTGACCATCCCCCCTGGGGGGTGATTTCTCGCTTTCTGTCTCTATGTCTCTGTCTGGCGAGCGCACGCGCCCTGCAGTGAAAATCTCTCAAAAAAAAAAAAATTTTCACTGAGGAGACAGCAGGTGGCATGGTAGTTAAGGTGCTGGACTCCCACAAGGCCAACTGCAGTTCCAGCTCCAGAATGCAGTTCGAGTCCCAGACCCGGCAGCTTGAAAATTATGCCGAGCGCATGTGCATGTATGCCCCAAACCCAGGAGGAGAGTGGTGGAGAATGGATAGCATCATGGCCATCCTCCCAGGGGGTGATTTCTCACTTTCCCTCTCATTGTCTTTCTCTGTCTATGGAGAATGCATGCACCCTATTGCAAAAATCTAAAAAAAAAAAAAAAAAAAAAATCATTTCACAGAAATCTTGGGGTAAAGCTGCTTTCTCAGAGGCTCTTTATCAGATTCTGTTTTTCTCTTAGCCACAGTTCCCCATGACCGATACTGGAAGCCCACAGGGTTACAGATACTCTCAGTTTAAGAGTAAGAGTAAGACACAGTGAAGTTTTCTTTTTATCTTTCGTCTTGACCCCCTCCATAAACACCCCTTCTAATTACAGTTTCCACTCCTATCACCTGAACAATGACTCAGGAATGAAAACTCTCCCCATACTTTTAAACTTAGTATATTCTAACTTCTAGATTAAAAAAAATAATAATGAATAATTGTTCTTTTTCTTAGAGAAGATATTTTTTCTCATAAGGCATATGCACTTGCCACAGACAGAGAGAGACAAACAGATAGAGAAAGGGGAAGTGGGAAATTACCCCCTGGGGGCAGTGACCATGCTGCAATCACTTCTCCTCTTGAGATTTTGGGCATGCATGCACAATCACACAGCGTGAGTTTCAAGCCACTGGGTCTGGGACTGAAACCATGGTCTACTACCACAGCCTCAACCACCACACCACCTGCTGGCCCCAGTCTCCAAACTCTTTGCAGCTCTGTAATGGAAGCAGCAAGCACTGATCAAAAGGCAGATTCTCTGGTATTTGGAGGATAGTTCCTCACTCCAACCCTATATATGCAAGCTGCTCCAGGAACACATGCACTGCTGCCTGCCAAGGGGCTGTGGGGTGGAGAATGAGCAGCAGCTACTGTGCTAAGAACTGAAATTGATCAAAATTAAATGTACTTTTCTGTCTTTTCCAAGTCTCTTTGAAAATTGCAAGCCTTTAATGGACTCCAGAGTTAGAACATTGTTAAATCAGAGATTCTGCTGTGCAATTGTCTAGGTGGGGAGGTAGAGCCCATGCTTCCTGCTTGCCCTCTTACCATAATCTTCTTCACAGAGCATGTATTTTGAAAATCTTTTGGTACTGCTTAGATTTGTGCTCATCAGTGGATTGACATTCAATAGGTTATTGGCTCTTTGAGGATCTTCATTCATCTAACTATGCTTCTTTGTTTTTCAATGTTTACCTCAAAGATGTGCCTTCTTCAAGAGCACCTTGAATCTGTCCAGAAGGAGTTTATAATTTTCAACAGAGAAAAGTAAGTAACTCCTGGAAGATCAGCCACCCTGCAAATGATGAGCAACTTCAGCTAGTCACCTCAGAGCATTAATGTATTTTTAACATACAAATTTTTTTCTAATTACAAAAATGATACACATCAAAAAATTAAAAATTTGGGAAATTCAGAAGCTTTTTTTTTTTCTGTCCTGTAAGTGATTTAAAATTTTGTAATGGATCAATTTACCTAGCATCATGTTTTTGTTTATGGAAAGGGTAGCGGAATTGGAATGTAAGCACTTTAAATCAATGGTATTTTAAAGATCTTCTTGGTTCTTATTTCTTTTTTAAAAAAAGAATTATTTAAATTTATTTATTTATTTTAATTTGACCATAGAGGAACAGAGAGAGAGAGAGAGAGAGAAAGTGAGAAAGCAAGCTGCTAGGTCCAGGTCTAAAACCATGGTTGGCCACATGGGAGTCTAGCACCTCCAACCACCATGCCACCTGTTGGCCCCATATTGCTTTTTAAACCGTTGAGCTTAATGCTATCATTTCAAAAATTTAACCTTTTGTTTTTCTTTTCAAATAATATATATTTTTTTTCTTTTAAGAGTAAGGAGGGACTTTAATAAGCGGCAAGCAAATCTAGCCTTGGAACAAACCAAAGAGCCACAAGAAGACAATGGTCAGAATAGCAATCTTTAAAGACCTCCACATCTTCTTGGGATATTTCTTGGCACCACAGGCCAGGAATTTCTAATGATCCACGTCAAGAGGAGCAGATGGAAGTTCTCGCCACTTCATGCCTCATGATGCAGAAAATGTGAATGAGTATCTTTCAAAGAAGGCGGCACAGCAGTGACGAGAGGCCTGAGCCTAAACTCCTGGGCTGAAGTTTCTCCACTATGTGACCTTTAGCAAGTCTCTTATTACTTTCTCTGCTTTAGTTTCTTCACCTAAAAGGAGAGGGTTGTACGAGATAAGCTGAACTCTACCTTTTTAGTGCTACAATTATGATACTAAACAGCCTTTATTTTTATTTTAAAAGGAAATTTGAGGTAGCTTTTATTTTTCCACTTCTTGTAAGTACACTGTGACATGTGGGTAAATGGACATTGGACTCAATGAGGCTCTTCAGAGCTAGAAAACATTCTAAAAAGGTGAGACCCCCCCCCCCACGAAGCCTGACTGATAGGAATAAAGAACCCCATCAGGATGAATGGGACCAGAATAAATGTAACACAGATTCATGGGGGCCTTCCAGATATGAGCTGGAGTCAGCTCACGTCAGCCTGTGTTTGCTACAAGAGCCTACTGTGCACCTTCCTCCCCAAGTCTCCCTTTGGTGATGTGAAGTTGGGAACTTGAAATTAGTGATGATGGGAGTACTTAAACCCTGGAAGTCAGTAAATGCTGCACATCGAGGCTCCCCCCTCCCACCACCATAAGCCACTTGTTAAACGTGAGCACACCACTTGCCTCTTCCAGTAAGTGTGTTCCTTGTGGGCTAATCGTCTTCTGAAGTTTAACAGAAACCTGTATCTTGAGAGAATCCAAAAAGAAAAACAAGAAAGAATACTGCCACGCTGAAAGCATGTTCACCTCACAGTTCAGTGAAGTTGTGTCTTACACAGGGGTCATAGTCTAGGTTAGAAATGAATCTGAAAAACAGTAAAATGTTCCCTTGAAAATCCCTTACATCACTCATAACAAATGGGAAGTGCCTTTTCTCAGGAAAGCCCAGCACAATGAGTCACCTTGGGAGTAAACAAGTCACTGGTTTTGTTTTGCTTTGCTTCTTCATTTTGATGCCGATCTCATTTTGGCGCATGTCAGATGGACTAACCTATTGAACAATGATACACTTCTATGTAGGCTAGCATTATATTTGAGACGATGGATTGCTAACTCATCTGAGAGGTCTAAGTTTATGGAGACTGTAAGAACAATGGTACCCTGTCTCCCACATCCCTTGTGTTTAGCAAGAATGGCAGGAAGCATTGCCTAAATGTTTAAAATATTATTGCTATCTTACTCTTTCTTTATATGTTTATTTATTTGTCAAGCACAATTTATTTTTTTTGGAGAGGTTTTTGCTATAGGGCGCGTGCGCTCGCCAGAAAGACAGAGAGAGACAGAGAGACAGAAAGTGAGAAATCACCCCCCAGGGGGGATGACCATGCTGTAGTCCCTTCTCCATTCTCCTTTTGGGATCTTGGACACGCACGCACACGCGCCCAGTGTGAATTTAAGCCACCAGGTCTGGAACTTGAACTGTGGTAGAATACATGGGAGTCCAGCGACATAGCCATTACGCCAACTGCTGGCCCCTGTCAAGCTCAATGTTAAATTCATCTAAGTGAGTTATGCATGTGATATAATCCCACTGTACTGATAATAATACAGAAGAAGATCTTTACAGAATGATTTTTGGCAACCCACAGATACCATTGGGTAGAAATAAGTAAACAGCCTTTGCAGGGGGTTGTTTTAACCTCTTGGCTCTTCAGGTCACCTATCCCTGCCCTTGGGGCCTCACCAGGATGGCAGTAAGCTGGAGATAGGGAAGATCAGGCCGGCACCCATTTAAGAAGTCAGGCAGGTGGAAGCAGACAGAGAAGTAATAGATTTGACTGCCTGCTACACCAGACTTTTCCAGAAGGAAGTTCACATTGGGGAAACTAAGCATGAGCGGAGAGAGAGAAACTTCAGCTTGGCACTTACCATTGTCTCTTCACTGAGCTAATAGGTAAGAGTTTCTGGCAGAGCCGTGAAACAGTGCCTCTCTTCTTTAAGAGCAGCCATATTTTGTTAAAGATTTTAAGCCAGCTCTTTGGTCCTGCCTGTTTGATTTATCTGCAGTTCCCACATGTTGTTTGTGCTGTTTTGTTTTTCTCTGAGTACTTGCCCCAATCAATATCAGAGAGGGAGAGGGGCAGAAAAGAGCAATGATGAGAAAGTGACCAGAGTCTGCTCTCGCCGGTACCTCTAGCTGCCTGCATGTTTATCCACTTCCATCTTTCATTCATGGTGATTCAAGCCCTGGTGTGCTGTGAACCTCCCTCCTAGTCACCTGTTCTTCCTCTCTGACCTTGTTTTTACCCTCCCAAAGGAGAGATGATGGGAAATGTTTTTGTGTTCATGTTTACCCAAGGGCAGCTGGACCATTAGCGTCTCCATTGTGATGAGAGAGAATCGTTTGTGCCATTTCACATCTGTACACTTTATATCGGAATAGAAGCCCGATATGATCTCTGTATTCTGAACTGCTTGTTTTTATTTCCAGTGAGCTGCTTCTGTGCCCAAAGTACCCCTGTGGGCCATCAGAAACCATCACCAGTTAGACCGCAGTGTCAGAGAGTAAGATGGATTTCCAGTCCTAGCTAGGTGACAGGTCCACAATGTGTTTAAAGATAAAAAATGAAAAAGAGAGAAAAACTCTATCTGCTGTATCTGACAGTGTGGAACAGTTAATTCTAAATACCCTTCTTCCACTATTGGTATATTTTTAACATGGGGACAAAACTGTTTTCCAAAAATGTTAAACTTCAAATCCTTACGGTGGGGGCTGGCAGGTGGTGTGATTAAAGGTGCTGGACTCCCACATGGTTGACCGCAGTTTGAGTGCCGGACCTGGTGGCTTGTTTTCTTGCTTTCCCTCTCTCTCTATCCCTCTGGTCAAATTAAAATAAATAAATAAAAATAAAGTTAAATTTTTTTTTTCTAAAAAGAATCTTAATACAAAAAAATTTAAAAATCCTTATGGTCATTGATTGCTAGTTGTTTAAATCAGATCCTTTGTGGTTTTATTCCATAACTTGGGCTAAATATTAAAATCTCATCAGGTGGAAGCTGTCTCATCTAGATTTATTGACAACGGAGACTCAGGGCTGAGAATTTTAGAATACTGTTCCATCCTCTGGTATTCCTGGAAACTGTTTCTCCTAACAGTTTCCTCCCTTACCTGTGAACCACCTGAAAAATCTGGGGACACCCACCTCCAGGGTATTCACGGTGACCTCTAGTGGATGGGTCAGCCTAGCCTAGCCCTGTGACCTTGGCCATGGACCTATGTCCAGGGGAGGAAATATTCTGTTAATGACTAACGCAGCTCCATGGCAGCTCTGGTTTGGCCTGAGGTCATTGCTAGGGCAGGAATGAATGTCAAACAGCACCAAGAATTGCTTAATCAATTATGGTAATCAAATGAATTAGTACTTAGGTTTCTTCTGACAGGAAAGTTTTAACTAGAAAACAACTAGACTTCCTATCATCACAGCTGTTCTAAATTGGAAAGATGAACAAATAACTAGGAAGAAAAAGTATGACTATAGCTAGCAAGGACCAACCAACATTGCTGCTTTGGGCTGATGCAGTAAAACTAAAGCTTTGATTTTTCAAAAGCTGATTGAAAAGGCATGAAAAACATTGTGAATTCGTCTCAGTACCCGGCTGTTCGTCTTCTGCGTACTGCACACAAAATCCCATTTCCTACTGTCTGCTTGTGCTTACCATTTATTACAGGCTCAGTGTGTCTGATTGATACTAAATACTGATGTGGAAAATTCAACTTTAGTTGTCCGTGCTGTTGTGAACAGATAGCTTATCTGGCAGCCCTTGAATGGGGAACAAGAGTTTCCATTGAACTGTAGCACCTACAATGTAATGTGCTTGTGTGCATTAAAGTGTCTTCTGTAAACAGTAAGCCAGTGACCTTTCTTTGTCAGCTCAAGAGAGAGAGTGTGTATTTGTGTGTGTATAATTGTTTTCCCTAGAGGTAGTGTTGGGGGGACCCCAACCTATTCCTATTTCCATTTCCTGTGGTGAAGAATGTCCCTTAACACAGACAAGAGGATGTTCTGTAACTATGAAATGCAGCACAACTTAAAGGATCCATATATTAAAAAAAAAAAAATACTAAGAACCTGACCCCTCTAGCATTCACAATTCAGAGTATACACCCCAGAGTTCCAGTGTCTGCCTTCTACTATGACCTTAAGTGACTGGGTGGTGGGGGCCAGTAGGTAGCATGGTGGTGGGGGTGCTGGACTCCCACATGGCCCACTGAGGTTCAAGTCCTGGACTTGGTGGCTTGTTTTCTTCACTTTCTCTTTCTCTTGTTCTATCCCTCTCTGGTCAAAGATAAGCACGTAAATAAATAAAGTTAAATAAAATAATTTTTAAAATGTGACCGGGTAGCATGATGTGCCTCTTTTTCCAGCACTCTGTCTCCATATCCCTCAATTTCTTTGTTTTATCCCATTCCGTGCCCCAGAGCAGTAGGTGGATGGCTCAAGAGCCATCATTTGGGACAGGAAGGTACCAGGAGCTCTGAATTCTTGCAGCTAGAAGCAGCTCCTGCCTTGGGAGAGAATGAAGAACGCTTTCAGCTGTTCCTCCACCCAGGAGAGCACAGCCGCTGCTGGCTCCAGTTTTGTGGACTCTTAAGTCCTATCTTCCAAGGACTGTAATCATCCAGGTCAGGTTAAGTGTCCTGTTGTGTTCTCAGCAGCCATCTGAGCAAAGGGATCTAAAACTCATACTTTCTGAAGAGCCCAGTCTTAAGTACGTGATCTTACCTTTGTGTGTTGCTTTGGCCCTTTGATCTCCCATCTCCAGCTCATAGTTGTCTCCTTTGTGACAGGTTGGTGGTGGGAAAGTTGAGCCCAGAAAGTTCTTTGGAATCAGGAAGGCTTTGTTACTCCTTTTCAGTGTTCTCATTCCCCACTTGATCAGGTGAGACTCAGCAGCTGAGTGCTTCAAGCCCAGGTGTGAAAGTTAGTCAACATGTATCTTTCACCCACGTTTACATTGTTATCCCTTTGAGAGCCCTGCATTTCGTGTGTGTGTGTGTGTGTGTGTGTGTGTGTGTGTGTGTGTGTGGTGTTTGGACAGGGTCTGACCATGTTCTTCTCCTGCCTCCACCTCTCAAGTAGCTGAGACAACAGGTATGTATGTCACTGTGCTAGGCTCTTTGGGGTGGGCCAACCATCAAAGGTGGACCTTCTATGTGGCCTCAGCCTACCAAGGAGCAGCAACTGGAACTCAGGCTACAATGGCTGGGCCTCCCGAGTTCATTTTGAATGCTGACTATTTCCTTTAAACCCACTCGCACCCTAAGCAGAGCTCAGTTGCTGCCTCAGTCATGAACGACAGAGGTATTGTGCTAGTCCTGAGTTTTGGTCATAAAATGCGATGATGGACCAAAGCTTACTAAGCTTCAAACCTTGTACCCTAACCATAAAATAACTTTGCGGTCAGACTAGCTTTTGATCTGGTTTCTGAGCCTCCACGTCAAAAGATATAATCACTCCAAGCTCTTGTATCAAAGGTGTTGTTCTATCAAACCAAGAGGGTTCATCACCCATAAAAACAATTCATCAGAAATTGGCTGGTCCCCCAGTTTCCTTTCCCACTGGCACCAACCCACACACAGATATGTTGTGGGTAAAACATGCCCTGAAGGCTTGACACTGCAGGCATGGTGCCATGGCCATGCGATTGTTGCCTTCCCAGCTTCTGTTCTTTCTGGTATCACATGCCCATTTTTTTTGTGTGTGTGTGGAGTTACTGAAAGTCCACCTGGCTCAGGTAGCCTAGTGGCTGAGGATGTGGCAGGTGTGAGCAGTTCATCCTTTCTTCTGGTCATAGTGTTTGTGTTCAATGGTGATCACATGACCCAAGCCAGACCAATCAGAAACAACCTCTCTGAGCAGCTCTCTCTCAAGGTTCCCATGCAAGTGAAATGAAAATCTGGAGACCAGCTGTGCCCACGTGGAAAAAGCTGTCCTAAGGGGCAGCACTTACTAAAGGCAAACAGGTCAGAGGTGGAAAGACGCAGCATTGTAATGTCAAGTTTCAGCGCTGAATCAACTATACCTGAGTCACCCAAATCTATCCCTGAACTTCTCAGCTGCACCAGACTTTACAAATTCCCTTTTCCCGGGAACCAGCAGTTAGCGTAATGGCTATGTCGCTGGACTCCCACGAGGTGGCTTTGTTTTGAATTTGCCAGATAGCACATGCCATTGCTGGAAAAAACAGGAATGTGTGAAAGCAGACCCCATGGGGGAATGGTCACGCTGCAATCCCTTCTCCTCCACTTCTCTTTTGGGGATTTTGAGACCTGTGCACATGCGCCTGATGTGTGCAGGACTCAAACTGCTGGGTCTGGGACTCAATCGCAGTCAGACATACGGGATCCAGCCTCCTTAACCACCATGCCACTGGCTGGACCCAGCTTTTAAGGGAATAATCAAAGCCAAAAACAAGCCATCAAAAAACTTCCGATTCTGTTTTGGACTCTAAAAGATTCATCCCAAATCATAATGCCTTCTACACTAATATTAAATTTGATGGTCCATAGAAAAATCTGTTCATTCCCATATGTTTCAATAATAGCAATCAAACTCCATGGAGGCTAAAACAGCTCAACCTCAATGAAAGAACAGAAGCCTAGACAAATTTTTTCCAGATAACTGTTACCATCAATTCTGCCCTTAATAACATGTCAATTTTATTGTGCATTTTTTTAAAAAAAAGAATTATTTTATTTATTCAATTTTATTATGCATTTTTTTTAAAAAAAGAATTATTTTATTTAACTTCATTTATTTATTTTAATTTGACCAGGGGGAAACAGAGTGTGAGAGAGAGAGAGAAGGAAAGTGAGAAAGCAAGCCTCCAGGTCCGGGACTCAAACCACAGTCGGCCATGTGGGAGTCCAGCACCCTTAACCACCACACCACTTCCCAACCCCTTTATTGTGCACTTTTAATACTGTAGGCGAAACAACACATTCTAAACAGAAGACTAGAGAATGACATGGTACTTTTATAGTTATTTTAATAACCAGGTTTACATTAACAGTCACTTGATGAAATTTTTTTTTCCTTTAATCTCAGCTAAACTCAAAACACAGTTTTCTTCACGGTTCAAACCAAACAGCTCTTCACGTTCCAGAGCTGCCTCACAGCTAGCACAGATCACAGGGAGATTTACCGTCTGTCCATATCCACCAGACACAGAACTGAACACCCACACACCACTTCAAAGAGGGAACTTACAATGAATGCGGGCTGCCCGAGACAGCCAGGAGTGTATCTGGGACTCAAGCTGGCGTTTTCCAGGGGAGAAGGCCTGGGAAGCTTGTGGCAAGAACCAATGTTGGCAATCGCCCATCCTGTTGGAAAATGCTTCTCAGAGTGAACAAAAGTCCAGGCTTTGGAGAAGAGAATGATTCTCTGGATATAGCCATGAAGACTAAGGCTGAAGGATGTCTGGACTTACGAAAATCCATGTTCAGGATAACTGTAATAATCTTACTAGTTATAGAAAACCTCGAAGTAAAAGAAACAGCTCTACTGGGGTGGCTGATTTAATAGTTCCACACACATGCTCTCGACTATCCAAGACTGTGGCTCTCTCAGAAAGAACACTGATAGCCATCTGGGTGTAGAAATGGTGTGAGAAGACTGGGGGGATGGCAGGGGCATTCTTACAGAGCAGCGAGACCGGGAGATGACACAACCACCACCAAAAAAGGTGAGGGATGAGACAGTAGGTTTGGCCCACCTCCCCACGCCCAGACGAGATGCCAGTGAGTTCGGAGAGCGCCACAAGTCACTTCACTGTCATTTCCTCTCCTAGAGGGAACTGTTTGATGTGTCTTAAGGAACAGAACCAATTTGCATACCAATTTTAACTTAAGTGCTTTGACTCAGTACTCATGTTTAAAAACTAGTGGGAGTTTTGGAATTCTCAAGAATTTCTATGCTTAGAAAATTACTAACGGTAACTGAAGGGAGGGAGGCCTCCTTAGATAATGTTGCACAACTCGGATTAAAGGGATGTTCCTACAGCATGGAAATCTTGGGGAGAAGATAAAATTCTAGCTGAATGCTGGGTTTTGGAAGTCCCACGTGCGGTGCAGATGATTAATTTGGCAATGGAAGGTTTGTTTTTGTGGCAGAGAGGTCATGGACAGATGCGTCGGACTTAGGGCTGGGTAACAGCATAGAGGATGGTGCGGAAGTGAGTGCGCAGACCAGTTTATTTATGTGTCTTTTCCTCCACCTGGTGGTTGTGGCTGGTACTGCAGCCTATCCTAAAGCAGAGTCCAGTCAATGAGGTATATATATGGTCAGATCTGGCAAACTCCCTCTGAATATAAAACTGTCGTTCCGAGTTCGATGACAGGCCCCAAATCTTAGATGTGTGAATTAGGAGCTACATTTTTTCCTTTTATTTAAGTTTCCCTTAAAATAAAAGCACCATGAGAGTCTTGACATAGCAAGATTCCCTATTATGAGAGAGAACTCTTTTTCATGATTAGAACAGAAAGCAGCTTGCTAGAGGAAGTTCTTTTCCTTGGCTATTTCCAAATTCCTTTGTAGCTAAGGGTTCACCTTTTGGTGGTCTTCAATTTACTAAAACCTGCAGTCAGAGATAGTGGCTTCTCCTAAGCACTTAAAAGGTGTTTGAGGCCTGCTCTCCTCTTCAAAGTACTTAGTCACGGGTTATGGATTCTATCAGTTAGATCTCACAGAGCTTGGAAGTCTGATTCCAGGTTGAATATTTGGGCATCTTGGTTCTACAGAGCCTCATCTTGCTCACAGGAATTTGCTCCAAAATTGAATTTCTGCAAGTGGCACAATAGGGAAATAACATTCAGTCTTGGCAGGCTAGGTCAATGCGAACACTCCATGCTAATGTCCTGTATGTCCCCCATCAGGAAGGCACCTGACTCACTTGGGGAGATTTCAGTACTGAAACAAAGAGCTCTCCCACAGGATCTGTTCATGGAAGGTGGAACGGATGGTTCAGAACTGAAAAATGGAACAAGGGCCACAAAACGCATTCCCTCTGCTCGGGATTGGCTTCCCCAAATCCTAGCTTGTTTCCCATAGTGTAGTAAAAATTAGGAAACACCTAAGAAAAGCAACTTTCTAAAAAAGGGGTAGAGGGAATCCTATTTATTCATGAATGTGCCTGGATCTCAGGAGGTCAAGAAAATCAAACACCATTGCCAAGAAAGGCCCTTCGTCCTGCACCATCTGAGCTAAATTCTAACCTGGGGGCCAGAGGCACGCTACTCTTCTTGGTTTGCAAAGTCGCGAGAGTGAGAGGTGAGCTCCCCATGTTGCAACAGAGGCGTATTTAAGCTGCAGTGGCCCTCCCTCATCTGAGGGCCTGTGCTGTGGTCTTAGCTGTTGCTTTTTAGAAGCACCAAAGAGACAGGGAGGGAGGGAGGGAGAGACATTGCTGCGCTCTCCTCGTTTATACTTCCCGGCCCAAGAAAGAGGACGATTTGAAAGCAACATTGAGAAAGAGGCTCCGATCAAACACTGCACGATCAAGCAGATGGAAGAACTGGTTGGGGTTTGGCATTTTAATACATGTTGAAAGAAACAAAATCTACTAGCAGAGGACATGACAAAGTCCAGAACCCAAAGATGGCCTTCCTTCTCCGCAGACCTCAGGGGACCATGATGAAGTGACAGCTGCCACAAGTGACCGTCTTCCATGGAAATCAACCTATGTCATCAACACAATACACAACACCCTCCTGCTTCACCCAGCCCACCCGCCTCCCTCCTACACGCCCTACCCCAGCCCTTCTGCACCCTCACCTTGCTTTGGGCTCCCACCACCCACTCATCCCCAAATAACTTGTGTCCCTTGTGTTCATGTCCCTGACATCCCAGCTTTGTCTGTCCCCTTGTCGTAAGATGCAGCACTACACACGCTCTCAACACTATGATATAGCAGACTCTTTTACCTTAGTGGCCTGTCTGATTGCATGCATGTAAATGGGGGGGTCAACAAATCAAGGCTATGCATAAACAGAAATCAAAGCATATTCATAAAGCTAGGCAAGCGAGCGCGTAACATTGGAGAAACATAAGGCTTGAGGCTTATTGATTCTTTAGATCGCAAACGTTTGGATTCGCTTTCCTTCTTAAATATCGGTGTACCATTTTGGCTTCAAAAAAATCTCTTCTGACTTCAGCCCCTCTCTGGTGAGGGGTTGTTTAACTCAGGGATGTGATATTAGAACGGCCTCCAGGGGGCGCCACGATGCGCTTGCTGGCTGAGCGGACCCCCTCATCCACTTGGGTGCCTGCAGTGGGAGATACATTCCCAGGAAGAAAGATGGGAGAGAGGAGTTTGGGCAAGAGAGAAACCAGATTAAGTTTAAGAGTACACAATATTCAATGCCTTCCTTGCTTTATTTCCCAAAAAACTTGCATTCCAGTCTGTCAGATCATTCCAGTCTTTCACATCCCAGCCTCTCAAAAACCACCCTCTGCTAGGAAAAGCCAAGTTCCTATCTAGATTTCTCCTGACCCTCAGCATGTTAGTAAGATTGAGAAGACCTGCTGACATTTATCCTGGAAAGCAATGTTTTCGATGCTTAACAGATTATCTCATTTAATCCTCAGCACTGTGGTTTGGGAGATGTGCTATTACTGTCATTACTGTCCCTGTTTTACAGAAGAGATAACTGAAGTTCTTTAAGGTTAGGTAACATGCTCAGAGTCTTACAGTCTGAGTGGCGATGGTCAGATCTGTGTGGCTACGGCATGAAAGAAAACATTGACACGTGCTTGAGTCTACTCAGAAAGGAGCCTCTAAAAGTTTAAGGCTTAAGGAACCCAGGGCAGCAATCGAAGATGGCAAAAACACTGGCAAAAAGTATTGCGACTACCAGAATACCACCTCTGGCAAAGTTACCCCCCAGATTTTTAGCTTTTTTCATCTCTCTCCCTCCCTCCCTTCCTTTCTTCCTTTCTTTCTTGACAGGGTCTTTCCATGTTGTGATCCATAGGCCTCAGCTGCCCAGCTGGGACTAAGACATACACCAACACGCCTGGCTCTTTTTAGACAGGGTCTCACTTTGTTGCTCAGATCAGCCTTGAACTTGTGATCTTCTTGCCTTAGCCCTCTGAGTGGCTGGGATTTCTGGCCACCCCTGGACTTGAAGATGGACCAGAAATCAAACCCAGGCCTCCCATGTGGCCTCAGCATGCAGAGTGCAACGTCCTAGCAGCACACACCGCCCCAGCTAAGCCTGCTTTTCCCCATCTTAAGACTACCGGCTCCGGAGCAGCGGAGTATTTTCTGAATTGAGTTCTTAAAGAACAGGTAAGACTAGTGATGCAGCTAACAGGTGGTAAAGGTTCAATCAATGGGAGCCACTGTTAGCATTGTTATGATTACTAGGGAGGGCAGACTGCAATAAAACCTTAGCTTAGAAGAAGTTATTACGATTCGAGCATAAAAATAATCAGAGTTATCTTTTAACCTGGACAATTAAAAAAATATCCTCAAGGGACCAGCAGTTAGCGTAATGGCTATGTTGCTGAACTCCCCTGTAGCCAACTATGGTTTAAGTCCCAGACCCGGTGGCTTAAAACTCACACCAGGCACATGTGCGCACATGCCCAAGATCCTGAGAGGAGAATGGAGGAGGAGGGATTGTGGCGTAGCCATCTCCCCTGGGGGGAGTTTTCGGTCTCTCTCTGTCTTTCTGGTGAGTGCACATGCCCTACAGCAAAAATCTCTTAAAAAAAAAAATCCACAATATATTGCATGGGTCTCATAGGCTAATACAGAAAATCATTATCAATTCATAGTGGAAATCAACTCCCTGCCCTTCTCCTCCAACCAAGTCTGACTGTGGCACAGAATCTGTTTTCATCTAAACCTGCTCTTCAAGTCGATGACACCTGTCTTACATGCCCACCAGGACCCCCTGCTGATGCAACAAACCCTCCTGCTTGCCACAGTTACCTTCTCCCTGAAGACAATGCAGCACTGGCCTGGAAAAGGCATGCAGTTGAGCTCTTAGGACCGCCTCTAGTTTCAGAGTCCTCTCCTTTCCCCTTCTTCCCCTCTAGATCAGTTTGTCCCACTCACCCGACAGGCTAAATCCTGACTGATGGAGATTCCTCACGGGTGGGTTTGGCCGAGTTGGAGAGCCCCGAGTAGAGCCCGCAGGAGTGCCCCCTTTTGGGGTGGTGGTCAGGTCAAACACAGGCCCATCATACATGCCCCTGGGGACCGCATGCAGGTCCGCCATCTGCAACAAGAGAAAAGCATGTCACCATTCATTCATTCATTCAATGATTTAGGGTCTGTTCCAGGTAGCATTATCAGTACATAGTGGGAACTGGAAAATCAAAAAGACATGCTAAGGAAGAAAGAAGTAATATAAAATAAATAAGAGTGGGTGTCATGAAAGAACAACAAGGGAGGTGGTCAGTGAAGGGCCCCCCACCAAATACTAGGTCATTGAAAAAGTCATGATGTGCTTTTTTCCCCCCTTTTTTTGGAGAGGTTTTTGCTACAGGGCGCATGCGCTCGCCAGAGACAGAGAGAGAGAAAGAGAGAGAGAGAAAGTGAGAAATCACCCCCGAGGGGGGATGGCCACGCCACAATCCCTTCTCCTCCATGCTCCTCTTGGGATCTTGGGCACGCACGCACATGTGCCCAGCATGAGTTTAAGCCACCAGGTCTGGGACTCGAACTGTGGTTGACTACATGGGAGTCCAGCAACATAGCCATTATGCTAACTGCTGGTCCCCATGAGCTTCTATCTAAAGGCTCAGAGGACCTTGTTACAGGGTTGGGAAAAGGAAAAGACAGGAGCCAGAGGAGTGGTATGGTTAGCAGCACACCCGGCAGCGGGAACAGTGGAGGTAAAACCTTACAGAACGGGAGAAGCACCTTACAGAACGGGAGAGCCAGGGCAGAGTAACCCAGAAGGGCAGCCGCCTGAGATGAGGTCTCAAGTGCTGGCCAGAAGGGGAACCTGTGGGAGCTGCAGCCTCACACTCTTCAGCACAGATCAGGGTTGGCAGGGCTTGAAATGTGCATCTGGGGTCTGACCCACTGGCCTCTGGCTGTAGCAGGGAGCATTCCCTAGGACTGCAGAACCAGCCAGCCAGCAACACCAGCTGAGTGCGCTCTGTGCCAGGCCTTGTGCCAACCACATGGAACACTGTGCCTGCCCCAGAGGGGCTTATAGTCTATGAGACAAACACTGTGAGACTGGCAGAGGCTGGGGCACTGCTGGCACAAAACCTCCCCATTTCGTATCACTGGCAGAGGTGAGGACACACTGCCGGGCGAGCCTGACTGCACAAGCTGGATGGCTGTAAGCTCCAGGGAAGTCCTGCCGCAGAGCTTGCAGTGCTGCTAATGACTCTGGAGGGAGGTGACTAAACCTGTACTCCGGAACCGGAACTCTAGATCATGAACGTTCCATTAGTTCCGGAGTTCAATTGGTACTAATACAAATAGTCCCTACCAGGAAAGGCTGGGATCTCTCTTCTATTAGGCCAAAACTAGAATGTGCATCTCAAACTCCACCATCCCAGGGCTGGTCTCGCCTTGCTGTGTGGAGCCCTCAGGTTAGACACAGGTGACCCAGAGACTAGTGAGAAAGAGGAGTGGGAAGGTGAAAAGACAGAGTTCTGACTTCACCCCATACCAACTCGAATCACCCAGTTTATTTTACACATATGCATATATACAAAGGGTATACAAAAAGTTCAGCAACCGTGCATATTATGAGAAAACTACACATGGATTTCACAGTCGTTTGCATCAGAATCAACTCATATTTTAATTCCTTTTTTTCCCACACACTTTTTTGAAATCCCTTGACACATATATTGAGTCATCTGAAAAGTCATGACGGATTTTGCATAGAAAAATACATGACTTTTCTGAGACCAAATAATTATGTATGTATATGCATACATAGATACATGCATACACACATGTGTGTATATAAAATCAATGACATAGGATTTCTTTATTTTTTCCATTATGAGAGACAGGCAGAAAGGGAGATAGAAAGACAACCACCCCAATAGGTTCAACACCTCAATCCCCCCTGCCCTCAGTCAGCCCTAGATCAAGGGCATGTATAAGTGGGGTCCTCAAAAAGGTCCCAAGGGAACCAGCAGCGTAATGGCTATGTTGCTGGACTCCCACGTAGTCAACCGCGGTTCGCGTCCCGGACCCGGTGGCTTGAAACTCACGCCAGGCGCGTGTGCGTGTGTGCCCAAGATCCCAAGAGGAGAATGGAGGAGAAGGGATTGCGGCATGACCATCCCCCCTGGGGGGTGACTTCTCGCTTTCTGTCTCTATGTCTCTCTCTCTGTGTCTGGTGAGCGCACACGCCCTATAGCGGAAACCTCTCAAAAAAAAAAAAAAAAAAAAAAAAGGGGGTCCCCTAATGGCTATGTCATTGGACTCCTATGTAGTTGACCGTGGTTCGAGTTTCGGACCCGGTAGCTTAAAACTCACGCCGGGCGTGTATGTGTGCGTGCCCAAGATCCCAAGAGGAGAATGGAGGAGAAGGGATTACGGCGTGGCCATCCCCCCAGGGGGTGATTTCTCGCTTTTTGTCTCTCTGTCTCTTTCTGGCGAGCGCATGCACCCTATAGCAAAAAAACCTCTCAAAAAAAAAAAAAAAGGTCCCCATACCCGAACCAGGAACCATCCCATGTGGGAATGCCTTGCCGTGTGCCTGTTTTACTGCTGTGCCACCACCTTGTCCTAGTGACATTAAGATTTTATTTGAACTATGGGACCAGTAGTTAGCGTAATGGTTATGTCACTGGACTCTCATGTAGTCGACCATGGTTTGAGTCCCGGACCCGGTGGCTTAAACTCACGCCGGGTGCATGTGCGTGCGTGCCCAAGATCCCGAGAGGAGAATAGAGGAGAAGGGACTGCGGCATGGCCATCTCCCCTGGGGGGTGATTTCTCACTTTCTGTCTCTTTTTGTCTTTCTGGCAAGTGCATGCGCCCTATAGCAAAAACCTCTCCAAAAAAGAAAAAAAAAAGATTTTATTTGAACTACAGTAGCCACACGTTAGGCGTTTGCTTCGATGAAGAAACCCTGGACAGATGGGACAGAGCGGGCTGGGTATGAACTGCTCTGATCATTTTAAGCCTTTAAAACTAATTCATTTCTTTAAAAATACACTGGCATTATCTTGAATTATTCAAATCTTAATTTTTTAAAGTAAACACACTGTAAAAATGTGAGGAAGAAAAAAAAAAACAAAACTTTCTTTGGCCACAAAGTTTTTAAGACCCCCCAATAGTACTTTAAAAATGCCGTGGGTATTCTCTGGGAAGAGAACTTTGTTGTGAATTTCTTCCTGAAGGTCTGGAGAACACGACTCCCTCCTGATTCCTACCCGTGACACAAAGCCCACAGCACCCCTTGAACTCCCTTCATACCTTCCTCCTGGCTTTAATGCGCTTGTAGACATAGTCGGAGAATGGGCTGCAGGGGATGAAGCGGCCAGCCCCCTGGGTCACGTGCAGGTTGCCGTCCTCCAGCATGATCTTGCCCTGGCAGATGACGACCAGAGGAGCCCCACGCAGCTCCATTCCTTCGAAGATGTTATACTCTGCAGCCTAGAGACAGATGAAGGGCAAAGTCACAGGGTGGGAGTAGGGAGGGGAGAAAAAGGAGTGCGGTTACCTTGTTGTCTGGGACCCTGCCTTTAGTGTCCCTAGGAACTGATTCACCAGGTGAGCCAGGGAAAGCTCACGATGCATCTGCAAACTTGCAGCAAGAAGAAGGTACCAGGAGACAGACCCTTGCTAAAGACTGGCCTCTGGAGCAAAGTGTCTGGTGCTAAGAAGGCCCTCAAATGGAAGTCAATTTTTGCCACTGGCTGTGCTGGAAGAGAAGCTGGACAGCCATCAGGGGTGCTGTACCTGTCGGTCTTGTATTGAGAGGATGAGCATGGAGGATGTACACCTCTCAGGTCCCTAACTAGCTTGAAATGAAATAATGTGATATGACACGTTTAAGGAAAGTTTCACCGAAAATAGGATTTCTTCCTACCTCCTTTATTCAACAAGCAAGAGGCATTACTGCAAAGTGGTTAAGAACAGCAGTGTGTATGTGTGGGGGTGGGGCGAAGGTCAAGCAGTCCAAGTTTGAATGCTAGCCTCATCGTTTATTTTACTTCCTGCCTAAGATTTTTAATTTTTCACAACTGCATCTCTTTATTTATGTAATAGGGACCATCACAGTATCTACCTGTGGAAGACTGTTTTGGAGACTCAGTGAATTAAAAGCACAGTGCCTAAAACATAAATGCTTCAAAAATATTAACTATTTTTACTAACAAAATATGAAGCTGCTTTTCGTTAGGGACTAGGGTTTACTTAGGGTCTTCCCCATGAAACTCCTCATGGGGAAGTCGTTGGTGCTGCTCACCACTTAGTTTCTGGTCTTTCACTTCCCAAACACAAAGTACGATCATGCTTCCCGCCTGCCTGAAGCTTGGGACAGCCATACGCCCAGCTCTGGCTGGCGGTGGGAGAGGAAGTGACGTAGGCACCTCTCCTGGGAGAGCTTTCAGTGCCGGCACACCGTTGGCCACGTCCTGTTCCTGCTTCAGCAATTACGGACACGTGTGTCGAGGGGATGCTTATCAGCCTCCCTCCCTGAGTGAGGAGGATGGGCAGAGCCCTTCTGCTGACTCTCCCACTTTGGAAAGCAGGAGTGAGAAATAAACAGTTGAGGTTTTAAGCCGCTGAGTTTCGGAGGTGGATTGTTACTGCGACTCATCCTAGTCGAACAACCCTGGTAACACCACAGAAGACATAGCTCCTGACCCAGCTCCTTGCACGTGGTCTCTACTCTGCCCCGCTCCCACCAGCACAAGCCTCACCGACTGGTGGTTCTTGGCAGAGACGATCTTCACAGCATCTGGATCCCAGATGACCAGGTCACTGTCCGAGCCCACAGATATTCTTCCCTTGCGGGGGTACAGATTGAAGATCTTGGCAGCATTTGTGCTTGTTACAGCCACAAACTGGTTTTCATCCATTTTCCCTGTGGCCTAGGAATCACAAAACAATTATAACTATCAATAACTCTGTATCTAGATCAATTAATTTAGGGCGTGCTTCTAGCTCAGAGGAAGATGACCACAAAGACCCAGAAACACAAAGAGGGTCCTCCGAGGTGACTACAGACCCTCTCCCATCAAGCCTGGGCATCAGTTGGGCTGTCATGGAGGCTCAGGCAAAATGGTTACACACATGGTCCAAGACAGAAGTTACTGCTCCTGAAGAACGCATTTTTTTTTCCTGGATATGTACAAACATTTACTTATTTATTGGGTGGTCGGAAAAATCATGATGTATTTTTCGATGTTTTTCTAAGCAAAAATGTATCATAACTTTTCCAATGACCCAATCTTCACCCCTTTTCATTCCAGAAAAGATTATAGAGTTCACAGTAAAACAAATGCCATGGCAACCCCACTCTTCAAATGGTGTTAAAATTGTTTATTTATTTATTCATTTTCTTTTAAAAAAATTTATTGTTTAATTATCTATTTATTTTCTTATAAAAAACTTTTTGCTGTAGGGTACATGTGCTCACCAGAGAGAAATGGACTGGGGAAGGGTGATAAGAATGCACCCCCAGGGGGATGGCCATGCCACAATCCCTTTTCTTACATTCTCCTCTTGGGAGAGGAATGTTTTTCAAGCTGCTAGATCCCGAAGTCCAACAGCACAGTTAGTCATGTCAGATCCAGCTGCCTTAAACACCACTCCTCGGGCTGGCCAGACAGTGTTTGTATTTAAATGTGCTTGAGATAAATATGGAAGAACCTCACCCAAATGCTAGCAATGGTTATCTTCGGCTTGTGGAATTATGAGAAATATTTTTCTCTTTCATATGTGTGTGTGCCTGTGGTTTCCAAGTGTTCACTGAGCATGTATTATGTTTATAATTAAGATCCAGATAGTGCCAGGATCAATATATGCATTTATAAGTACAGAATAAAGAAAGAAAAGCAAATGCTAATGATATGAACCTACTAAGGAAGAACTTGAGTTTAAACATAACTTTGAGCTTCCTGGAAGTCAAGGTAAAAGGTAAACTCAGTGGATTACACTGTGTAGACTACAGATGAATGAATGCAATGGTGGTGCATATGCATTCTATTTGGCACCAATATGAATATTTTTTACGGTTTTAAAAATAAACATAGGTGCCCGGCCATGGGTACGCAGGTGGGAGGGCAGTGCTCTGCAATGCTGAAGCCAAATGGAAGCTCATAGTTCTGATCTGGGTCAACCAGAAACATGTTGAGTGCACAGATGAACTCATGACTCTGGCTGGCTAGAAGGCTGGGGGAGGATTACACATGATAAGATCTTGTTAAGAGTTCCTGTTGCTCTTTCTTGCTCATGAAAGAAAATAAAGCTGGGAAAAAATTTTAAATAAAACATCGGAAGCCATCGACATATGAATGGATTAATTATTTTACTAAAATCTTGGCGAGGGGGTCATGGTTCCTTCTTTTGTCATCCCTTTTGATGTGAACAAGGAAAATAACATCAGGCCATTTTGTCAGAAGACACTGACACACAATCACTTGTATAGCCTGGGTGACCATGTACCCTCAGCATGAGGACATCCTTCATGAGCAAGATGACTTTAGTCTAAGCGAACTTACTGCTTATCATTTCAAAGGGTTATATCCAACCCTTTCAAAAGAAGCCATAAAGCTCTCTTAGCCCAAAGAATGTTCACTCTCGATAAAGAGGCCTCCTCAGAATCCTAGTCCACAGGATTCATCATGCTGGAAGGGGAATGCTCAAACCCCTGGACTAAGCCCCTGGACCCAAAGACAGCTCAGCAGGTCTGTCACCTGCACGCTGAGCAACCCACCCAGGGTGGCACAGAGGTGCAGCGCCACTGGTTCAGTTGCTCTTCTCTGGCCCATTGCCACCTTGGCTGTGGCCACCCTCATCTGACCTCGATCCCTTACCACGGCCTTGTCCCAGATGACAGACATCCGCTCCTCCACGCCATTGGTGCCCTCGGGAATGGCTGTGAAGTTGTCCTTCCCGATCGCTTTCTGGGCAGTGCTGAAGGTGCAGTGGGCACTTCCAGAGAGCTGCAGATCCCCACTGGCAAAGGAGAAAAGCTCCATGTGAACTGGAGAGATGGCTGGAAGTGCGTCAGGGCAGAACCTAGCGTCTAGTCTGAGGGTTTGGGGTCTGGTGACTTGAGTTTGGAAACCTTCCCCTACTTCGTATTAGCTGTGTGAGCTTAGGTGGCTCTCTGCCTCTCTCTGAGCTCAGTTACCCCATCTGGAAAGTGAGGGGGTAGGATTAGATCATCTCCTAGCAAAATAAACAGGACTCGAATGAATGAGGCACATCTTATGTGTCTACGGAGGGCAGCAACAAAGAGTCCCCGTAATTTTGGTTGCATCATCATGACAGTCTGTTTGAATTTAGGCACATCATTTAGGCTGTCTGACCCTCAGCTGCTTAATCTGTGAAATGGTGATAATAGTGCCTCATAAAGTCATCATAGGAACAAAGGAGAGTGTCCTCTCACCACAGAGAGTGACACGTAATAGGGATTAACTGCTAGAACCATTATCACATCATTACTGAATGATTGTTAAAATGTGTTCTGTGCTCAAGACCACACTGCAGACTCCAGTCCCACTGATGCATGGGACTGCTCCAGTTCTTGCCCCAGCAGGCCCCAAGATATTTCCAGAAAACACAGGCTGCTTGACATTCCTGCACCCACCTGGCCAGCAAGGAGTTGATATAGTCAGGCGTGGTGGGGTCAGGGCTCAGAGGTGGGGACGTCACAAATGCAGCCGCCTTCGCCCAGTTCTTGCTCCAGTAGTGGGTTCCATCTATGCCGAGGCTGGCGGTGATGGGCTCACCAAAGACCACGTTTCCTAGAAGGGGTAGGAAACGGGCAGTGAGTTTGCAGGAAGCATGTGCTGCATTGGGCCCTGCATAGTTAATCACAGCCCCTAAGCCTGCCCACAGCTGTGGCTCTAGAGTCAGACCTGGGTTCAAGTCCACATTCCAACATCCCTAAGCCTCTGCTTTTTCATCTGCCAAATGTGAGCGATTTTGTCCTCTCTAGATCAGAAGAGGCCCTGGGTTGTAAGATGCAGTGCTGATCCTCAAATTTCCAGACAAATCAAAATGTGAAGCAAGGGAACCAGCAGTTAGCATAATGGCTATGTCGCTGGACTCCCACGTAGTCGACCACGGTTCATGTCCTGGACCCGGTGGCTTAAAACTCACGCCGGGTGCGTGTGCATGCGTGCCCAAGATCTCGAGAGGAGAATGGAGGAAAAGGGATTGCGGCGTGACCATCCCCCCTGGGGGGTGATTTCTCGCTTTCTGTCTCTATGTCTCTCTCTGTCTGTCTGGCGAGCGCACGCGCCCTACAGTGAAAATCTCTCCCCCCCCAAAAAAAATGTGAAGCAAAAGAAGTATTTTTTTTTAACAGAGATTTTTGCTATAGGGTGCGTGTACTCATCATAGAGAGAGACAGAAAGACAAAGGGAGAAATCACCCCCCAGGGGGATGGCCACTCCACCATCCCTGCTCCTTTATTCTCCTCTCATGAGTTTGGGCACACACACACATGTACCTGGTGAGTTTTAAGCTGCTGGGTCTAGGACTTGACCTATGTGGGAGTCCAGTGACATAACCATTATGCCATCTACTGGTCTCGAAGCAAAACCAAATGAAAAATACATAAATAAATATATCCTCAAATTTCTGGGCAAATTAAGATTTGAAGCCAAAGATTTACACACACACACACACACACACACACACACACACACACATATAGCCAGAGGGCACTTACACTCCCCAGAAAGAGAAAAAGCACCTTCCACGAGGTCTGGTCACACCACAATCCTTTTTTCCTCCATTTCTCCATTATATCAGGATTTTGGGCATGTGCCTCGCCTCACATGTTTTTCAAGCCACCAGGGCCAAGATTCAAGCCATAGTTGGTCATTTGGAATCCAGATCCCTATGCATAGCACTTAATTGCTGTGCTTTGGGGTCACCTCCTTATCCCCCAAGATGGGTCTAGGATATATATATGTATTTATATATATACATATATATATATAAATACATATATATACATATATATAAATACATATATATACATATATATAAATACATATATATACATATATATATAAATACATATATATACATATATATATGTGTATATATATATATATATATAAAAGGTACATCTTAGAACTAATGAAATAATAATATCTAGTTCTCAGTCTTATGAAAATGAAAGGATGTGGCAAAAACTGACACACAGCAGATGCTCAGTAAATTTCATTTCTTTATCTCCTACTCATTCCCACCTTAGGGGTTCCAAATCCCAAACATGCCCACATATCAGGGAATTGCTAGATCCTCCCATTACAAGGGCATGTTTTGGCCCCACAAAGTAAGATCCATTCCTATGAGTCAGAGGCTTGCATTTTTTTTTTTTCCAGTATGTCTATTAACTCCTTAACCTAAGGCAAGGAGTGATTTGCTCAAGGACTCTCAATAACTTGGATATATCAAAGATGAGGCCAGTTCTGGGATTCTGTATCCAGAATGAGTGGCTTAATTGTTCAAACCATGGGGAGGGGAGGAAGAAGACTTTGATCTAAGTGTTCATTGGGCTTCTTAAAAAAGAACAGAAGGCAGATGTTGATTCATAGAAGGCTGGCTGACACCAAGTTCCTCTAGGCCAGAATCTTGGGCCAAAGATGCTCCATAGAGTCCTGGTTTATCTTTGATCGTCATTGTCCGCAGTCAAAGTTCCCCACAAGGTCTCATGTTAGAAGGCTCCATGGAGAGGATTATAAACAAATGTTGCCATGTTTCAACTCCAATTAGTAATTCTTCACGTAAGGAAAAGTTGTAATGTTTCTGGTCTCACTAGACAGACTCAAGATTGGTAAGTGATATTTCCCATGGACAAAGGAATGAAACAAGGGCCATGATTCATACACGACAGCCTTTTGGGGGTAGCAGTAAAAAGAATCCACTTTTAACTGATGAGAATTTCAAGGGTTTGCCAAAAAGCAGACTAAAGCACAGAGGACTGCAGAGAAATGAAGAAATGAGAGTCAAGGCAAGCACTCAAATACTGTCAAGAGGAAAGCAGCCTTAACAGTGGAAGAACTCTCCCTCTGGACTGTCTTTAGCATGGAAGAGCAGAATAAGCAAGTTAGTCATTATACCTGGGTTTGAATGCTAGGTAAATTGGGAGATCCAGGATAAGTTGTGATTCAATTTCTTCACTTAAAAAAATGATACTATGGGGCCAGCAGATGGAGTAGCAGTTACATTGCTGGACTCCCACATGACCGACTGAGGTTTGAGTCCTGGACCTGGTAGCCTGAAATTCACACCGGGTTGCATGTGCCTGTATGTCCAAGATCCCGGCAGGAAAATGGAGAAGGGATTGCAGCATGGTCATCCCCCTGGGGAGTGATTTCTCACTTTCCCTCTCACTGTCTGTTTCTCCCTCTCTCTCCAGCAAGTGCACGTGCCTTAAGGCAAAAACCTCTAAACAAATAAAATGGTAATATAGGTGGGCACATGGAGCAGCATTTAAGAGAGCCAGATCCCACACGACTGACCCTGGTTCAAATTCCAGTCACTGCAGCTTGAAAAACACACCGGACATGTGTCCTCATACCCCAAATCCTGACAGGATAGAGAAATGGAGAAGGGATTGTGCCATGACTACATCCCATTGGGGGATTACTTTCACTCACTCACTCTCTCAATCTCTCTCTCTCTCATTTCTCTCTGGCAAATGCACACACACTCTGGCAAAATAAATAAATAAACAAGAGCACTAATGCCTATTCTTTTTTTTTTTTTTTTGGAGAGTTTTTTTTCGCTATAGGGCTCGTGCGCTCGCCAGACAGAGAGACAGAGAGACAGAAAGCGAGAAATCACCCCCCAGGGGGGATGGTCACGCCGCAATCCCTTCTCCTCCATTCTCCTCTTGGGATCTTGGGCACGCACGCACATGCACCCGGCATGAGTTTTAAGCCACCGGGTCCGGGACGCGAACCGCGGTCGACTACGTAGGAGTCCAGCGACATAGCCATTACGCGAACTGCTGGTTCCCCTAAAGCCTATTCTTCAGAGTTCTTTGAGAACCCTGCATAATAATAAGGTTAAAGTATCTATCCCAGCACTGAGCATATAATTAGTCTTCATTAAATTATAGTTTCCTGATAGGAATCCCGAACAGCCCAGTAAAGTTGCTAAAGCTCTGGTTACTGGCGGCTAAACACACTGGGATTTAATCGATAACCTGCTCAGGAGGGCAGAGTCGCCCTTCCTACTCCGTCTTCCTTCTTGAACTCCATTCCTGAGAATGACAGTCCACGGGAAGTAACGGGCTTCAGTCTCAGCAGTCAGTTTTAGTCACTGAAGTGAAACCTCCCTCCCACCCCGGAGACACAGCTGTACTAACTCTCCCTGCCAGAGAACCATGAGCCAGAAAACTAAGGGTGAGGACTTTTTCTCTGTGACGTTTGAAATAAGACCAGCACATCACTGAAACACCCTGTCCTCAGGGGCCCACCTGGTCACCCCAAGAATGGGTCCCAAGTAGGGTACAGGTATCAGAAGGCAGGAGAGGGTGGTGCGTGATTTCAGGCAGAAGGGGGGGAGGGGAGGGCACACACTTTTCGTGTCCTTTTTTGCCTTTCTCCAAGAATGGATAAGGAACATTGGGCTGCATTCCGGGTTCTCGCCCCGTGACTCATACCCCGTGGTGCAACCACGCCGTGTCAGTTGAGACATTTAGAAGCTGAGAGAGAAAACAGCAGGCTCACTGTGGAAGGCAGGAGGTACTCCAGGATATGCCAGCGAGGAAGACTGTCTAGACAATTAGAGAAGGCTCCCTCCATGAGAAAAGGATCACCCTTTGCCAGAAGGCCTGGCGGCTGACCACCCAGCTGTTAGTCAGTGGAGACTATATTTAGCTCCCCCAGTCAGTCACACGTGGAGTTTTACAGACCAGTTTGGTAAATGAGTCACTCATCCTGGGTCTCTCCAGCAGAATGGCCACTGGCACCCGGCAGTAGCAATCACAAACTTGGTAGATCTCTCACACCCAGATACAGAGCCCTGTGTGCCCAGTTTCCTGGCCACACTTTCTTCATTGGCTCAGCCTCACAGCTGAGCCCACCGGTCTGCTATTGAGGACAAGAACCAAAAACAGAAAAGAAAACTTTGAAATGGGAGTAAGCTTCAGCCAAGCACGAGGTGAGCAAGTGACGTCCACGTTAACAACCGCAGAGGAAAGCAGCAGGAGTAAGAGGGCAGCGGGGACGGAGTCCTGTGTTGTGAAGGCCATGGTGGCAGACATGCTTTGAAGACCCTTTCAACCCCTCGTCTTTTACATTTTTTTAAATAATGATTTAACTTTATTTATTATTATTATTATTATTAATTATTATTTTAATCTGACCAGAGACAGAGCTAGAGAGGGCAAGTGAGAAAGCAAGGCACCAAGTCTAGGACCTGAACCGCAGTCAGTCACGTGGGAGTCCAGTGCCTTTAACCACCACACCACCTGCCAGCCCCTCAACCCTTTTCTAAAGTAACTTGTGTAACCTGTGTGGTTCAGGCATTGGTACCCTGTCCCTGCATTCTGCCCTCAATCCCAGACAGATTATGCATCCTCAGGGCAGTTAGTGGTTTAGGGCTGAGCATGTGACCCAGCCAAGACGATCTCCGTGCCCCTGGGAGGTTTACTGCTCACACTGTTGGAAAAGGTGTACCCTACTATGCCATCTTCCCCACCATCAAGAGCGGAGGACAACAGGCACCTCCTGGCATCTAGCCTTGTCCCCACTCTTACTGAACATAAAGCCAAGGGAGAAGGAACAGAGAAAAGAAAAAGGAGTGACAGTGATGGAGCCCAAATCCCATTGTGGACACCCCTTGATTTAGCCATGCTCAAATACCCTCACCCGGGCATTTACTTGCGTGTGCCTGTTTAGGCCAATCTCAGCTGAATCTGACTTTTGCACTCACGGTAATCTACGCTAATATGTCCATTTATAAAATCAGATCACGTGTGGGGCTAGCAGGTGGCATGGTGATTAAGGGTGCTGGATTCCCACATGGCTGAGTGCAGTTCAAGTCCCAGACCTGACAGTTTGCTTTTTCATTTTCCCTTTCTCTCTCTATCTCTCTCTGGTGAAATTAAAAAATAATAATAACTAGTAGAATCAAATAAATAAATAAATATTTTTTAAAAAAATCCTCAGATCATGTGACCTGAGAAGGAAAGATCAAAGGGAGGGAGGAAGATGCACCCCCTCTCAGAATAACAGTCATCTTAGCAAACCACTTTACCCTCCAGAGCCTCAGCTTATTTACAAGTGCAAGAAACCCCAGGACCCCACCATTGATATGGGACATAGAGAGGGGCTTCCTGGAGAGCAAAATAGCAACCAGGGAGGGAGGGAGCCGCAAGTTGCACCAGGGGCTGAGAGGCCTTAGGAGCCCAAAGCACCTTTTTTCCTGGCTTGCGAGATGAGGTCAGCGGCGCTCTTGCTCATGACCTTCGTGATGTAGAGAGGGCAGTTGGTCTGGCTGGCAATGGTGATGGCACGGAACACGGCCTCTGCTTCCAGCTGCAAAATAAGTCCCCAGGAGTCAATAGGAACAGGAGCCCCTTAAGTTTGTCACTCCCTCACCTCTGCAGACTGAAAGTGCAGAGCTACATAGAGGTTAAACGCCTGCCTCCGAAGATCTGGAATTAGCCTGGATCCACATCACAGATCTACCACTCTGTCACTTTACTTAGCTTCTCGGGCTTCGGGCCCAAAGAGTGGGCCAGAGGGCTGTTGTATGTGAGTACTTAGACACTGTTAACTAGGGTTTTCCCTTAGCCTACTCTCTCTGCTCCCTGTAGTTACTACAGCGGCTGCACCGAAGCCTTTGCTCCTCAGTCTTCTCAGGGCAGACTTCCTGGGAAAACACAATTAAGCCATTATATCGACAGTAACCAGTAAAGGTAAATAGGCCACATGGTTTTGCAAATCCTTTCCCCTAGCAACAAGTGGTTAGTGAAGTGTTCATTCTAAGAGGCATATGTATAAAAATAATTCTCAGGCTTCTCAACATAAAGACTTTTTTTATTATGGATCTCTTCCACCCCACTCCAATGTAGAATCCATGTTTTCAAATCTTCTAACCAAGCAAATTGCATGTATTATGTAAAAAGTAATGAGTTCTCCTTTACTTTAATAACAAAGCAAGATCTGGAGACCTTGTGTCTGTGACCTGCTTCTGCCAATTGCAAGCTGGGTGACTCAGGTATGCTGGTCTCCGAAAACCTCAACTTCCTTGTCTGTAAAGTGGGGGCAGTAACAGGACCCGACCCTGAGGGCTATTGTGAGAATTCAATTACTCCCTATAAATCATTTGGTCCACTCCTGGGACAAGCCAAATGTTTCTTGAAGGGAACTTCAGCTCTTGGTCTTGCTGCTTATCACAACTCTGACCATGTGAGAGTCTGCGTTACTACCCAAGCCTGAGTTAGTCCAATGTGGCCCAAAGCAGACAATAGTATTTTTTTCATTCTATCAGCAACAGTTCCTTTTTGTATGACTATGATATTGTGGTTAGCCTGTGTGGATAAACACTTTAAAAATATCAAAAATAGCTTGCAGATGCCCAGTGGTTGTATAATGCTGACCAGTCACTGCCTGGGTGGGTGTGGCTCAGCAAGCAGATGAAGAACTTGGCCGGCCACACTTGTGTCCCCCAAGCTGCACTTTGTTTCATGTGGACAAGGCCTATGTGGCCCCTGACCACAGGTGAATGCTGCCACCTTCCTGAGGCACCAACTTCTGTGCTCTGGAGCAGCTGTCCCTGTGTCCCAAGCTCCACTTCAAATGGCATCTCTGAGACGGCTTCCATGTGTGCTTTGATGTGAAGAGGGGCTGGCTCCTACCGTGCTCCGTCCCCCACTCCCCACCTATACTGACCGGGAGCTCAATCCTGGCCCCTTTGATCTCATGCTCTCAGGGCACTGTAGGTTTTTCAGCACTTTGACAACATGACTATCTTTGGATGGTTACATCACCCGCCAGCTTCACCCAAAAGGGCTCCAGGGTTGTAGAGATTTGCAGCTGAGAGGATTTTTTTTACTAAAAAGGAGACGGGAACATGGAGGAGGGTGGGGTAGGGGTTGGAGGGGGGTTGAAAAAACAAACCAAGGGACAAAAATAGACTTCGCTCTGAAATCCCCTGGCTGCTGAAGGTATCTATCTCACAAACATATCTCTCCAGTGACCAGGATTGAAGAAAAGTCTCACGAACAGTGCTGATTGCCCTGGCCTGCTCATGCTGTGCAAAGGATGTTCCAAACCTTCAAACAGCATTGGCCAGTGGCTTCACCATTCTGAGCAATAATGCCGACTACCCAGGGCAGCGGCAAGGATAACCGAGATAACACATGTGATTAGCACAGTATTGAGAATGAGCTGTCTATGGAAGAGACGTGGTACTGTTAAGAAGATAGACTTTTCAGGAAT